GAGGCTTAGGTATGAAGTAGACATAAAGCAGCTTTTACTTGTTATCAGCTTATAGCATTTGACTCCACCTGCCCTTGCCATTTAAGAATACTATATTTCTAATGCAAAAATGTACAAGTACGAACAATATGCGGGCAAATTTTTGTTTAGCTTTTTATTACCATTTTTATCTTTAAATTGCCTATTTGTGTATATTGCCTCTTACATCAATAAATGACAAAAACTTTTTCTTTGACCTATTCATAACTACATTCTAAACATTAAGTAACTACTGTGTATAATAAGTATAAGGGACTATTTGAACAATTCATTTGATGAGTTGAAGTTAGAAATCTATAAAGCAAGTGAGCTGCGTATATTGCGGAATGGTCTAAGGCATTGTTTGCCCAACCGAATGAATGAATGTCTGTTCAGCTTAAGTATGAATAGCGAAAGAAAAGTATGAAATGAAATGTGAGCCATAATAGTTAGTGGACCGCATTCCATCTCTGACTTATTTTCTTTCATTGTCTGCTCTTTTTTGTTTTGATGAATGGAAAGACACATTATACTAATGACTTAAGCACAGTCCAGGAAAGACAAGAAGAACACGTACAAGAACAACAACTTCAGGAACAACTATAGGGCACCCTTGGCTGCAAGATTCATTTTCGTCGCTTGAGGCACGTTGCGCATAAATTTAACTAAATACAAACATAATTGGGTACTTACACTGGCCAGCAGAAACAACAACAATCATTTTCTATTATAGGTTCCTTCCGTCTGCTTTGGTGTGCCGCCAATAAGGCATATAATGATAAATACTATTTAAGTGAAAGCAAATTTATTGTTTCTGTCTGGCGATACGCGTGGCATGACCGTGTTTATAGAACTTGTAAATGGGAAAGTCAGACGCTGTCTAGTAAGGAGATATGAATAATGCGGATTTGATTAGGAGAGAAACCAGAACAAAGTCAGAAAAATTTAAATAAATTATGGACTACGTCCATTTCCATTCCAATTAAAAAATTAAAGCTTCACATTAAAGTCTATCTGAATTTGAAAAGTAAGCTACGGCCTTTCCTTTTAGTTAAAAATGTGACCCAATACTTGTACATTGAATAAAAAAAGGGTGATTGGTTTCCTTGTAATGTTTATAAAACTGAAGGACAACAAAGACAACGAGTGAGTGCAAAAATACACTCTAGTTTTCGAATAGAATACACACGAGCTAATGCGCATTGAATTGAGTATAATAAGGTTTAAAATCAAAACGAAGTATTTGCAATGCATAGAAAGACAAAGAGGAAAAAATTGAGTGTACTTAGCGTTTGCACACTCTTGCACATTTGAGCATACGAATCAATATTTTGCAGAACTTTGAAAAGAGAATGGGAAACAAAAGTATTATTTTCAGTTAATTACTTTTTAAGTACGAATTCAATTGTAATTACAGCTACCATTTCATGGTGATGTTATCATTCTTTCAAGACTATTTAAATTCATTATTTCCAATAAGGAAAGGATCATGTTTTGCGTACCATTTCGTCTATCTTAAGCGGCACTATAACAGACTTAGATTTAACTTGAACGAAGCAGTTTAGCATATCTGAAACGAAAGCTGACAAAGAATTTAGTAAAACTACAAATTGGTCAGCATTCAAAGTACTCAGTGAAATATTAAATGAATGTTTACAGTTCAAGCACAAGTAAGAAACCTGACAGTATTAAATTTGTTGCAAATTCTGTTCAAATATTAATGCGCTAGTAAAATGCTAAGACCTTACATATATGTCCCTACACACGATATTTGTCTGCGTGTGGCTGGCGAAAGTCAATTAAGAGTGCTGCTTCCTTGATATTGCTGACTTTACTGACTTGCTTCGGAGGTGCACGGACACTTGACCAGACTCTGGCAACTGTGCACAATGAAGACACGTAATAAAGCCACATAAGCCTGTCTAATAGTGTGTGTTCGTCTGTGTGTGTGTTTGTGTGTCTGAGTTGCCGTTGCCAGCACGCACATACTTTACTCCTGGCGGGTCCAATTAGAGAGAGAAAACTGACATTGCTGTTGTTTTTGCTTTTGTTGTAGTTGTTGTTGTTGTTCTTGCTGTTCACACAAGTTAGCTTATATGTAGTATATTTATAATTTATGAAGCATTTATGTCAAGTTTTTGTTGTGACATTAGTATTAGTGACTAACTCAGCGTAAGAGTCTCTTTCTGTGTGTGCCTCGTATTGTCCCATAATATGAGAGACGACTGTTTGTTTTTCTTTGGTGATTAATTTAGGAAATGTAATTTATATATATTTTATGTTTATAAATACGCTTATAGGTATGCACGCGTTGCGACTAATTACTATAACCTGCCTACATTTAAATCATAACTTATTAGTATGTCTTAGGCATAACATATATTTTTGCTTAATGTAAACACTTTAAATTTAAATAAATAAGACTTTTAAAGTTCACTAAATTTCTTTTTGGTTATATGTATGACTAAAAACTAAATCACAATATGTTTTTGCTGTATTTTTAGTTGTTGTTGTTGTGAGTGTGTGTGTGTATGTGTTGGTGTTGGTGTGTGTGTTGTTTTTAATAACTTTTAAGCTGCTTTTTGGTTTGCAGAACATGCCTTGGGAGAAATGTCTGATAATTTCTTCTCGGTTCACACATAAATAATGCGGCTATCTGCATTAGTGAACGAAAATGCGAGTCACGCGTCTTTCGTGCAATTTCACAGTTAAGCAAAATGTCTACTGCCTCATTGTTTTTATTGTTTCCTCCACACCCCCCGAGCCCCCACACCCCCGTCCAACGTCGTCTGCTGTCGTTTGTTGTTGTCATCGATGTCGTCTTCGTCGTCGTCTGGACGGCAATTTTTTTTTTTTTGGCTAGATGTTGAGCAAGTCAGGCAAGTCAGGGTCGCGGGAAGAACTGCAACTTTTTCTACATTGAACACAACTATTTCCGTTTTACTTTTTAGCAGACACACAGATGCCGGCTGCTGCGCAGCATGGCCTGGCAAATATTTTATTAGACCGCCGCCTCGCTGGGAGAGTGCAATTTTGGGCTTGCGAGCTAACTAAGTTGCCTTGATCCATCTAAACTGTCGGTTTCATGGCGTTTCTCTAACTGTCTTCCTGCCATGTGGCAGAGCCAGCGACTGTAACTGCGACTGTAACTGCTACTGCGACTGCACTGCCGATACTGCATTATACGTATATACATACAAGTATACAAACATATATATATATATATGCAGGACCCACGTCGCGCCCCCTATGGAGCGGAAAAGCTTTGCGGAAATTACTAAATCGATACGTATGTGTCGCTGTATGAGATTTTCAGTTACAGTTTTTCCTGCGAATGCCATTTACAATACACACTCATATTTTTTGTGAAGGTGTTTTTTTTTTCAGAAAAAGAGAGGTCACAAAACATGTCATTTAATTTATCAAGGGCCACCATAATTTAGTTGATTACTTACGTATGAATAAAATGATGATGTAATACAAAGTTTCATATTTTCTTTATTGTTGTGCCTGCTGAGATTTACAGTCTTCGGCTTGGCTGAAGCATACGACTCAAGGACAAGTGGTTTAGTTAAGTCCCTTAACTACAAGATTCTGAATTAAATTTCTTCTTAATTGCCATTCTTTTAAAACCTTCTAGGGATGTTGTGTAAAAAGCACTTTAAAACGCGAAACGAAACTGTTTTTGGCGAATATGGAAAATAACTTAGAAAAGGTCTACTTTTTCCAGATATGCCTCCAGAGTCAGTCATGAAGTCTAATCTATTAATTAAATCAGGTAATCGAATATAAAATTCGGATAAATTGGTTAAGAAATTGGAATTAGAATTATGATTAAGTTGTCAAGTAGATTAAAGTAATATCACTTATGGCCATCTCATTATTAATTATTTTCCCCTGTTGGTGAACGTTAAACACACAAATATGCTTTTACCAAAATTGAAATGGAAAGGCGGCTAATTGTTGTCAACTACTGTGACTCATGCAATTAGATTGACAAGCAGTTGAGCTCTAGATATTAATGAAGACAATCAGCCGCCGTCAACAAGGCAGTAACCCATTCATCAGTCTGTTCTGCATGGCAAGCCCAAAAAGTAACCCATAACAAAATGAGGTGTACGAATGACGTGGGCGAATGTTATATCGTGTGTTTACAACTACACCTGGCCGGATGCGAAATGTGTCTGGAATAATTAAACACACCCTGCCACCGACATCGCACAGTGGTTGATTTTGCATTTAACTTGGGGACACATTGAACTTTTATAAGTCTTAATGAGTTTATTTTGAAGACGGATTCATTTCAAATGAAACATTTAAGCATCCTAAGCATTGTATGTATTTAGTTATCGGGGCTTGAGACATTCTCGTATAGTTCTAAAGTAATACTGATTTCAAAAAAGATGGCACTCATCAGAAGTATTGCTACTCCCTAAAAAAGCTTTGCTTGAATTTAAAACTCTTTAGAGTAAAAGTACACACATTTTAGTCATTAACTTTAGTCATTAACTCATTGGTGTTATTTCTAACTGTAATGGCTGTAAGTGTTAAAATAAAGTAAAATGTGATATTCGAATATTTAATTATTTAAAGTGTAACTAGTCGTTCAATAAAAACCAGGAATTATTTTCAAATAAGTAATGCAATGTAACATGAGTATTTGCGGATCGTAATTAGTATCGAAATAAATTGTCAAAACTAATCTCAACTGTTTAATAAAAAGTTAGTGCAGATTTTAAAAATATATGTTCCTGAACATGCGTTAATTTATAATACACTCTCATGGAAGCAAAAATAAGTACAGAAATGCATACTTGATACTGAGTAATATTGGAGTAAATTGAATCGTGATGGCGTCGAGAGCAATTTAGACAATGCAGTATTAGAAAAAGAAATAACTTTTGACTAAGGATTTGAAATAAATTTGACTAGAGCATAAAATTAAAACTCAACTTGGATTTATTTTGAAAATTGTGCTAAGATTTGTTGCCTAATTAACCACTGTGCGCCGACAGCGACGCGTTAATTTAATGAATACGCTAATCATATATGCTAGTCAGTATGAATGTGTGTACATATGTATGCATATTGTTTGTTCGCTACTAATTATAAAGGTTGCCGCTTCCACCGTGTCCTCCACCTGTTGGCACCGCCGTTGCCACTCCGCCCAATCCTACACCAATGAGCACCATTTCCGTGCTCATGCGTGAGGCGCGCGTTGTGGCCCCTCGCCTCAACTATCGCCTTATGGACATCGTATTGGTTGGGAACTGCGGTTTCTGGGCGCTGCTAAAGAAGCGCTTGCAGGTCAATCGCCAAAAGGCGGCACGGAAATCAACACTGTAGAATGCATAGATGAATGGATTAATGGCACTATTAAACCAACCCAGCCAGGTAAGTGCTTGGGTCAGTGTTGTGCTGACTTGATGGTCGCCGAGGAAGGGCGTTATCAAATAGTAGACGAAAAATGGCAACCAACATGCGATGAAGCCGCCCACAACGATGCTCAAAGTCTGTGTGGTTTTGTTCTCCTTTTTTAACAATGTTACGCGATTCGAGAGCGATTTGGCATGACCACTGGATGAGCTCTGCGCTCCTGTTCCGGTAGCCACAAAGTGATGATGGTGATGGCCACGTAGTCGATCGCCTTGCGCGCCCACACTCAAATGTGAGTGCCGGAAGCTGTGAGCACGCGGCTGTTGTTGTGGTTGTTGGGATTGCTGTTGCTGGCTCTGCCATTGTGCATCCAGTAGGCTGCTGCCTGCGCCTACGCCACTCGTCATTGTAGTCATGGTCGTCGAAGCAGTGGCTGTTCGTTTCAGCGATGAAGGGCGTGTTAGCTCGTAACAACCGTTTTTGCCACCACCGTGTGCCCCTTGTGGCGATGGCAGCGCCAAGAGTGAATGGCAATGCGTGGCGCCAGCATTGAGACCACCTGCGGTGGTTGCCAGTCCCAGGCTGGCAGTCCCAGGCTGAGCTCCGCCACAATTTTCGCCTTCACTCAGCATGATTTCGTGCAGTTCCTTTGCTATTGTCTGATTCGAGAATGTGCGTGCAGCTGCCTGTTTATTCTTCTGGCCCGAGCTGTGCTCTTGCTCTGAAAAGTCGTGGTCAATGTCATTCTCAACGTCTGCGGCGGTGTAGCGCTTAAATTTCTGCAAAAAGACGAAAAAGTGTATGTGAGAGAGAGGAAATGGATATTGAACTTTGCTACATCATAAAAGCGCACAAGTTGCAAGTTTTTGGGGCTGACAACTATTAAAAGTCTTCGCTGGGCTAATACTTTGGCTGTCTTCAATTAAAACTTAGTGCCTGGCGGGGAATTGTCTGTTAATGTTGGTGGTGCTGCGCTTCCACTCCTATTTACTATGAATAGCAATTTATCTGTAATTGCGCTGCTTGTGTGTATTGCTATTAAAATCAAATTAAGTGCCTTGCGAACTTATTTCAGCTGAATACGAAGTCTAATGGTTCCTTCGAAAGTTGAAATATATTTCTGCACTCTTTCTCTCTGCACAGCAAGTACAGTATTTTTAATGCATTTGTTTAATTTTCTGATGGCTTGAGGGAAAATGTAAGCTAACAAATTTTAATTGTTAGTTTGACTGGCTCGTGGTTGTGGTATTGAAAAAATGCAAGCCAAATCAAGAATGTATTATTATTGCTAGAATTATGTTAATTAAATGAAAACTCTTCTGTCAAAACTAATTATTGAGAGATAACAAAGCCAATAACCAATATTATTACTCCAAGTCGTTAGTGTTTCGAAATAAATTTACTATTATTTCATTGATTTACAAAGAAGAATAGCTTTACAAACTTATGGCAATTTGCAAAATGGCGCCAATGGCTGTTGACTGAACAGATTATAACTAAATTGCTAAGAACTTGGTCTAATTAACAATATTTATTCTCCCGATCTTTAACCTTTTGTAAATTTTAAGTAAATAATGCCAAAGTTCATCGTGTTTCTAATTCTATTTTCTTTCGAAGCGCATAGTTTGAACAGAAATGAAGGTTATAAATACCTCATGAAAATAGATGTAATGCAATCGAGTATTTACTAAAGCTGTGTGCTCGACCACATATTTCTATATATATTTACTGCTTCGTTAAATATTGCCAACCTTTAACCGCAAGCATACAATGAGTATCCAGTATATGTGCATGTGAAGGTATCTGCGCACATGTGTATGAAAAATGTGCTAAAAAATGCAGTAACTGCATAAGAATCACCGATGGTATGAAAATCTCAGAAAACTTGGAAGCAGGCAAGCAACCGCACGTGTAATACAAATAAAATATGCGCTCGTTGCAGCATGACACACATGGCGTATACGTTATATGTAGTGCTTGGCATGCCAGCAAGCCAGTAGGGCTGAGCGGGTACGAGTGTTTCTTGGTGTATTGGTATGTGCGGGTCTGTCTAGCAATGCATTTTGCATTTTGGGTTACCTTGTTGTGAACACTTATGTCGGTCATATTGTCATGCCTCGATGCAATAACGCACGAAATTCTAGCATAAACATAAATCATAACAGCCATTGGTATGAAGAACGAGCCCATCGCTGAGAAAATCACGTAGCCTTCATTTTGATTGTAGCGGCATTCTCTCAAGTCGCGACGTCCGGGCTCATACCTGAAAGAAGGAAATCAAGAAAAACATAGCATACTTTTTAGAGCTTTGATTAAAAACAAACATTTATTGAAATAAACAAACAAAAGGAGGTCACATATTGAATCAGTTATTTCGAAATATGCTGTGTGTATTCAAGAAACACATAAGTACTACGTTAGTCCGTTAAATCTCGAAGAAAAAGATTATAACATCTAGAAAACTAGGTCAAAAAAGGTAGATTTGTAAGAACTTTCAATGTCCCTTTCTAAACTAAACATGCTCGTGAACAGTATTGTTTAAAACTTAATTATAAAATCATGTGTTACTTTTAATATCTTTAAAAATAAAAGAACATAAAAGGATCATTTAAACAAACAAATTAATAATAATAACTACACCTAATTCTGTTTTTATACAGTTTTTTTACACGGTTTTGATTTAACATGGTTTGAAAATTACAAATTTTATATATGGTTACACGACTAGAACCAATCGACCGTGTAAAAACAGAATTAGGTGTATTGGATTAAATATCAATAAGCTTGTTGGTTGGTGCTGTTCAAGGGAGTTATGCAAATATTTAAAAAATAAATAAATTAAAAACTGAATGTTGCACTACTTAGAAATGTAATACTTATTACATAATACTTATTATTTGGGCTAAGAAAATGCTATAAATTTTAATCTTTATTGCCGGATCTGTTATGACAATTAATTTCTCGATCAAAAATATTCTTCCTTAAATATGGATTATTTTTGAACTAATTGTATTAACTTATACTTATAATTATAAACAATAAAATTATTTTACCTAAAAAACTGTTCAAAAGCTGAGCTTTATATAACAACGGCGTAAAATAAAAATTAATATATTCGACCAAAAAAATAGTTTTCAATTTAGCTAGAATCACCTTGTTATGTTTGGTTGAACTGATTTCTAACAATTAAAAGGGTTCTGGTGAGTGCGTTTACTAACTTGGCAATGGCAGCTCGACTTAGACAACAGTTAATGCTTACTCGATTTTGGTTTACAAGTGTCTGCCAAAACTTTGTGATGAATTACAAGTATGTATGTTCACTAAATCAAATAAGGGGAAGCACACATATACATGGCTTAATTGTAACAGCACAATGGCAAAGAATCTGTATCACTGTTTGCTTTTTGCCTAAATCAACAAGCAGCCAACAAAGTTACATTGTCATGCAAACTTGTATATTTACATAGGCCAAAACAAATGTGCGTATGTATGTGCGTGCGTTAGTGTGTGTGTGTGTATGTATGTGTAGACTAGACTGTTTTGCATACTTACCAGCCGAGCATCGGAGGACATGTGATGGCCAGGGCCAGCAGCCAAACAATTAATATCATGATGAGTGCCAAACGTTTCGAACGACGTTTGCGAGAATAGGTGAGCGGTCGTGTTACCGCCAGGTATCTGCAAAATGTTTTAGTAAAATTGTATACATAAAACGGACCGCAGGTCTAAGCCATAAATCTCCCACCTGTCAACGCTGATGGCACACAAACTCAATATTGATGCCGTACATAGGAGCACATCGAGTGATATCCAAATATCGCACAACACCCATCCGAGCTGCCAGGAACCTGTAATAAATACAAGAATATTACCAAAAATTTAGCATTGGTTTTTTCCGCTAATTCTCAATGATTTGCAACTGACATCTGGTTGGCCTCTCACATGTCTTTTATGTAAGTGTGGGTGTGCATAAAAAATCACTACATTATTCAACAATGTAGACAAACAATATGGCGCTAATAGAATTGTTGAAATACAATCGACATATTCAAAAAAATAAATGCTTGTCATGATAAATATTATATTTTTATTACACAAAATTAGGAGGTTTTTCAATATAAGTCTTAGAATGTAATTCGCAATTGTAATTTAATATGGGCTATTTCAGTTGCACAATTGTTAAATATTTAATTTGCTTAAAATAATTGAAATCTAGTGAAATTTGTGTAGAGAATAAGGAAACTCACTGCTAACTCCAAGCTCAAGTTTGTAACAAGACGGACGTTTTTGACAAAACAAAGGTCGGCAGAAAGTTAGCCTTACTTTATTGGTCCCCAAGGTCTGACTTTCGTTGGAAGGATCCCCATATTTGCCATAATCAGTCTTCTTCAAGCCTAACTACACGCCTTCAGTTAAATTTTCTAAAATATTCATGAAATATGGTGACATGTTTGTATTCTAGAATTGAATGCACATAATCAATACATCTTTGGTGGCTAGAGTCAAACTTAAAATTGTGTTGATGAACCACCATACAGGCTGGCCAGGCCCCTACATGATGAGCGCTCAATAATAGGGCTCAAAAGAAGGAAGCCAGCAGACTTATTAGGATAAGAAGTTTAATTATTAGCATTAATATTGTGTAATTCGCAATTTAAACCAAATGGGAACAAAATAAGTTTCAGAAGGTTGTGTTGAAAACAACATGCAGTACTTTTCTATATTTGATACGTGGTTGGTTGCAGTTGCTCGGTTTATTTGGTTTTGGCAACATAATACTCATACTCATAGGCCTTGTCTAAAGGTGGTATAATGTCAAAATTCACGATATTACCTACAAATTCTGAACAGTTTTAAAGACATATAATCGTAGCTCTAACATGACTATAACAAGAAAATAGATTTTATAAAAATTGTCCGAAAAACAAAGTCAAAAACGGTTTATGAGATAAAAAATTTTTTTTCTATAATAAGTGCGCAAATAGTGAAAGGTAAGTGAGCTGAGTCGGTATACTATAGTTTTATAAAATGCAGATATCTATAAACGGATAAGCTGTATTCTTGATAAGATAGATGAGCTTATCGATGTATCCACAATTGCTCAACAATGACAGCATTAGTTTCATAAAATTGTTGAACAAAAACTTATTAAAGCTTCAAAAAATGCGGGACAGTGCTCATCTTACCAGTCTTGTTTGTGATTGTGCACAATTTTTTTTTAATTTTGTAAAATGTAACTTTGTAAGAGAATGCAAAAGCTGAAGTGAAAGTATCAGTACAAACAAACAAAATCATGAAAAAGTCCGTAGCATGAGTTTCACTGTGAAAAAAAAAACAAAAAAAATTAATTACAAAATTTTCGGCCTGAAATACATTTCCGACAAAACAAAACAGCAGAAATAGCGAAAACAAAGACAACAATGTTCCAGCATCAGCATAAATAATGTCTGAGTTTGATGTTGTTGTTGCTGTTGCTGTAATTTCTCCCAAAGCTCTGGCACGAAAGTGCCATTAGTGTTGTTGTTCTGCTGGTTAGTTGCTGGGCAGGCATTAAATTAGCGCGACGTTCAAAATACAGCAGCGAGTTGGCCAGGCGATACAGTTTTTTAATCAAGTACCATCATTTGCCAGTTACATTTCTAAGCATAGTTCTAAAAGAAAATCGCCAATGGGGGAATTTAGCTCGGGTAAGGAGTCCACAGAACAGATGCTGTTGCTATACGCGTCTGCTGTGGTTATGGCAACACGTTGGGTCAGCCAATTATGTGTAGTAGGCAAGGGTATTAAATAGGTTTGAGTTGGGATTTTACAATTTGTGTGTGCATAATAGCCTCCTTGGTATAGTGTTGATGAAATTGATTTTCCTCTCTTGCAAGTACAATTTTAATCAAAATTTCTTAGAAATGGTGGGATTTAGGTATTATTAAATGAAACTGAACGGATCAAACAAACAAACTAGAGCTAAATTTGTTCTCAATACTATTACAAATTGTTATTCATATTTTGGACTTTGTTGAAAGGGCATTGCTGAAAGTGTGTCGAAAGCAATCCAAGTTTCGAATATTCCCTTCCACAGGCCACTTTTTAATGTTGGTGTTAGACACCTGTGATTCAACAACGTCAACAGTGGGCTAACAAAACATTTTGCCACCGCCTTAAGTTTGGTAAGTCTATATCCCCCAGGTTGTTCTGATTGGTGGACATTAAAAACTAGCATCATCTGTCATCTGTTGTGAAGCCCATCCTCTTGGCATAGACGGCTTCCGATCTGCATTCCTTTCTTTGGAATTGCTTAAATATAAACATGCACAATACCAATGTATTGTTTTATGAGAAAATGTTAAGTGAATGCAGTTCCCTATTTGAAACCTCACACAAATAGATAAATATGACACTTGCGCATTTATGAAAGTGGAAGCAGGTCATAAATATTAGTACATGCACAAGTGAGTGCAAGGAAAAAAGGTGTAGATCTTAAGCTAAAATTGTCTATATAATAAGCAATATTTTTAATGACAAAGTTAATTTAGAATTTGAATTCAAACGTCTTAGCGTCTTATTTAAATGCCTCAACACATATAATCTTTTTAAAATACAATCTAAAGCCGAAAATGGTCTGCAAAGTTTGGACTTTATTTCCTATCCTAATTTCCCTAGCTAATTTATTTAAAACTATTGTATGAGAATGCTCAAAATTATTCCGGTACTCACAATTGCTAAAGTCACATAAATAACATTTTAAATGAAATCAACTTTTGTTGTGGTAGTTATATGGATTGTAATGGCTGTTGTGATTCGCAGCGGGAAATAAAAAAGTTGTTCCTTCTCTCCGATTGCTTCCTAAAGCGTGCCGGTCGCTCTAAGTGCCGTCATCTTGAAGTCTGCATAATATCAATTATTCCACAACATTAGGAATACATGAAACACAAAACATAAGTATACACACACAGTTACACAAATTTAAGGAATTGTAGTTGTTATGTTGTTTACTCATATTGGTCGTAAAGTTTTATTAATAAATTAGTATGGGTTTCTCCCACCAAGTTGAGAATTATGTGGCTATCAAATCAAAACAAGTTGGAACGTAAAATAAGACCTTACATATGCAGACTAAAATAATAATGAAGGTTATCTGATGAAGGAATAAATGTATATGTACTATATACTAGAGATGGGAAGGAATTGGCTTTTTTTTGGGCCAACATGCCCACGAAATGGACAAGAAGAAAGCAATATGCTACAGTCAATTCGTAAATACCCTGTACTCACTCCAAAAAAAAAAAAACAACTTTTATAGTCTCGCAGCTTATAAGTTATAATTTAAAATAAATATGTATGTATATGGTTGATAAATTTAATATATATTTATAAATATTTAAACTAAGAAACATTACGAAATATTTGAACTTATAAATATTAGGAAATATTTGAACTAAGAAATATAAGAAAAAAAATTATAAATAATCGAAATATTTCGATTTATTAGTCAGCGTTTGCCGTTTTTTACATTATGTTTTGCATTTCGAAAAAAAAGTCTTCGTGTTTCTCGTGTATTCTCGTGCATGCATATTCTTGTCTTTGTAATGCAGCCCAGTCACGCACAAAGTTCGAATTTATAACACGCTCGTGAAGCTTAAGATAATAATCTGTTGGGGCCTTTTATATTTACAGTAATTCCCAGAAGTTCCAGAGTTACAACCCATTTATGCTTTTTATTTATCTGAAAAAATGCCTTGCATTGTACCATGCTGTTTTTATATAGACTTTTATTTATAAACTAGTTTAATTTTGGACTTGATTTAATTTTGAAAAGTGTTTTTCATTCATAAAACAGAAACTGCAACAGATGGCATATAGAACTTACTATACAAAATTTGATTGCAAACTTAATTTGAATAGGCCAGGGTAGAGTCTAGTATATGCATACTATATTTTTATTTAGTTAATACTTAGAAATTTGTTTATAGAAAGGCAAAAAGATGATGTGGTTGGCAAACATCTGTAATGTCAAGTTATCTTGATTGATTAATTATTCAGTTTGATTTTGTTTTTTTTTTTATTACAGCAGTCTTATTTCAATTTGGAGCAAAAGCTGTAAACACTCAAAGCTAAATAAATAATATACTCAGTGTGGGATAAGCAAGCAGTATTTTAGAAATGCCGAATTTATTAAACAACAACGGGACGAAGAAATGGAAAAATGTATTTATTTAACTACAACTTAAATATCAATGTATTCATATGTCAACAAAGGGAACAATTTCGGCACATGACAACTGACAGAAACATAAACACCAGAGAGCAGAACAAAAAATGTAGATTGTTTTTGCGTATGCCAGAAAATTGTTTTAACGTGTGTTGACATTGCCATCAACAGATGGGGCAACTGACTGGAAATGGTCGGCATTGCTACCGCTGGAAAATCAAAAGAACAGCCCAAAAGTATGCCACAAATTTTCGGCAAAAACTTTCGCTTGCCAACCTCAGCCATAGGATCAACAACACCATTGCACATGTTAATGCCTGGCGGCAATTGAAGGCATTAAAGTAAACATTTTGAACAAAAATTGTTTACCGAATATTTTAAAAAACATAAAAGTTTTCTTCAGACACGCATTGTTTATGTTGTTAAATGGCGAATGTGAGTTGTGGTGTTTTTTTTTTGGTTAGGAATATTTTCTATAGGCGCCCTACTTGAAAGCGTTCAAACGAAAGAAACGCTTGTATTTCTACATTTTAGCTGAACTTAGCATAAATACATATGCTCTTTCACCCACACATACACACAAGTACTTATACTCTAATGTTTAAAGAGCCCGCAGACCCGTAGCGCAAAAACAACAAGGGTACAAACACAAATGCCAAAAACACATAAAATGCACCCATAAATGGGTATTTAGGCTGAAGATTTAGCGGGCCATAAATGCGAGCATTTATTTATTTGTAGTTACATGAGAGATATAAAGAGCTGTATCAGTACATTTTACATTTTCAATTTCACAAACATTTTCCATACAGTTTTCTTTACCTACCATCTGGCCATAAAACACTTACAGTACAGCTTTGGTTGGAGAAAAAATTTAAATTAAATTAAAGTAACTGATCTGGCAACCTTTCGCTTGTCCATATCAGGGCATTTATCTTTAGAGACTTGCAAATCATAATAAACGTAACATAGATATTAAGATAGATATTATGACTTAAAAACTTTAATAACAAATTTAATAAAAAAAGAAAGTTTCTCTTTTAAATTTTAATTGAATAATATTAATAAAGTACTAATTTTCTTTTAGTTTTAGTTCATTTAAAAGCTTTTTAATTTCAAAAGGAATCGACGATTTATTTAGGTTTTAGAAACTTTAAAATTTTCTGGAAATATTTTTATTTTTAGTAAACTGGAGCAATATCTATACTATCTGACTAAAATTTAATTTATATTATTATTATTATTTGGAATTATTAATTTTTTTTTTGATGATTGGCAAATTATTGCATTATGCGATAGTTGCAGACCCTGGCGCAAACTGAAATTTTAACTGAGTCAGCATGTAGGCATAAGTTATGCATTAAAATAAGTGGCATTAAAAACATAAATGCTTCTCAGCAGCAGGCAGCCCATCGCATATTGCTATTTTATGTGTTAAGTCTCGCCATTCACCAGCAGCATGAATATTAATAAGCGTTTGCCTTACAGGATGTCATGCAATAATTTTTAGCCGTGTCTTTTGCCTTTCCCCGAAGCCTGTAAGGAAAACTTTACGAGTACTGCCTGAGCCAAGGCGAAGATAGCATATTACACACCCTGGGCCAGAGTGTGTAGGCATGTCTGTCTGTGCCTGTTTATATTTGTTTATCTGCTTGACATTAATGAGCACTCAGCTGTCACAGTAGTAAGACAGAACGAAGCTCATACTTGAATGCACACACAAAGAAGCCCTCCCGAAAAAAGTGTGTCACGGCAGTCGCGTCTCGACAATTTAATTAGCTCGTTTTAACGTTTAAATAGATGCCACGCAATAGGCGTAATTTATTTGTGGCTGGACTTAATCTTACTTTCAGGGAGGCATTTAATTAACCTTGTTCTTGTTTGTCATTTCCATATTTAGATTTCTCCTTGAACGTGTTAATTACGCCTAAGCTAATGATATTGGAAAAAAGCTCAATTACCAAAAATAAATACATTACCCGAAATTTGCTTTAAACCCAAGCTTCAGCAAAGTAAATCTAAACACACTTAAAAGCCAGAGTGCTGTAAATTTTGTTCCCTTCTTGCCATAGTCAAAACCCATCAACTTCATTAGCAATGTTAGACTCCAAATAAAATATAAATAAACTAACTGCATTTGAGCAAATGAGGTTGAGGTTTCTGTGGCTTGCTTTGTTAGTAATTAGCCATGGAAAAGTTGTAGCATACTTTTTTGGGGCGCTGCATCCTTAAGTAAATAAATGTGTAAATATTTACTGTGTACCATTGCAAGTCTGTGTCCTTTTTTAAATTGCGCAAATTAAGGCAAACGCGCTTAATTGTGCACAATTTTAATGAATCTTTAACCTCAAAGAAAACTAGTAAACAACATTTTTTATTTCCGATATTCCTAAATCTAATGTTGAGCATACATACATATATACGCTATTTGTGAAATACCTTATCTTGTAGATAGTTCATTTATGTTTTGTTTTCTGGGACTACATTGCTTGATATGTTTGAACAACCAACCTAATCTCTACAGCCTAAAGCATTTTTCGTGGCCCAGCCCATATTTCCCGTTCTTCACTTCTTTTAGTTTATTAGCTTTTTCTTATTTCCCAGCTAATGCAGTTCTTTTTTCAAAGAAATAGGATTCCTGTATGCTAAATAAATAATTATTTTTACTATTTTTACTATATTGAAACTCTGTATTATTTTTCAAGCATTACAAACATGAAAATTATTATATCCTTTTGGAAACCGTAAACAATGACCAGTTCTTTGCAAGCAGAAAGCGCATTTCTAGACAGAAATATATTCATATTGACCTTATTGATGTTATATTATAAGGATCCTGAAAAATCATACATATAGAATATGCAGATTCATATTCATCATACTGTATAATTTCAATCAAGATTGTCACATAATTTGTTTGTTATAATATTCCATATTTGGCTTGGAGAAAAAACTATTTCCAATTTTCTATCATTGGTTTAAGCCATAATTTCTGTACGAGTATGTATGTAGGTCATGGCTTAAACAGTATGCATCACATTGTTATTTTTGCAAATTCATGTTTACTTAGTATAATAAAATTAATTAAAATGGATTCAGATAGATTTGTCGGTGCAATAAGATGAAAAAATAGTTATGTTATCGCAAATTATATAAAATTAAATAACTGTCACTGTTTAGCACCACCAAAAGAATACAACTCCACCCATTAGACCTGCTGTTCAGTACATTACAAATTGGATAAAAAGCCTTTATTTAATATATTAAACAATATTTTTTAATCGAAACCTCTTAATTACACTATTAAAACAAAAATTGAGTTTCCCCAGAGAAAAAAGGGTAGAAAAATAATTCAATTAGATAAGTTATTATTAGGACTAACAAAAGTATTTTCTCTATGTGCGAACATAATTCAAATTGAACATTCCGAAGTAGTTGGCTGCTAGTGTTCATTCCATCACAAATACCGGTTTTATATGAAAATGTAATTTTACGGCAGCTCCACAAATGAGCAATTCATTTCAAAACAAGTTACAAACAGACAATGGTGTTGCAACAACTGCAAGCAGAAGCCGAAAATTTGTGGCATGTACAACGTTCTTTCACATACTTATGTAGTACAAGCAAATGAAATATATTAATAACCCTGTAGTACGTCGGTGTTGAGAATAAAAGTTCATTATCAATTTGATATTGCTTGGTCCAAAAAACAATATAAATGTGCTTATGTGCATTTTGCTTTTAAACTGAAAGCATATCGACTTAAGAAACTATCTATTGTTTGCTAAACGTCAATAGTAAGTGTGTTTGAATAATTGACTCAAATTATTAATTGAATTTTCTGATTATGTATATTGTATAACAGCTATATGTATGGTTATACGAATTTCGAATGTTTTGACTTCGTAGTTGCTACTTTCATAAATATATAAACCAAATAAATAAATGTAAAACAAACAAATATATATATATAATTAATAAATACAGTGACTTGGATCGATCTCATATATATTTTAAAATGATATTACATAAAATGTGGAAAGAAATTATATGAAATCTAACCATGCTGTTTCAATTGTTGAACAATATTTCGAATAAAGAAAGCTGGCTCTGTAGAAACTTGATGGCAGATACTGGAGTTTTCCTGACTTTGAATATTTTTCTTGTTTTTTGTTTTTCAATTCGACTAATTGCGGCGTATAAATTTACGTTCTGATCGATATTTAAAAATGTGAAGTATTTGTAATTGGAAATAATTCCAAAACTTGCAGTTATCTACTAATGTACTTAAATCCAAAACTCTATGATATTCACTTACCTATGAGGTGAACAGCTACAGCCGGCGGCATTACAAATATTCCCACAAGCAAATCGGCAACCGCTAAGCTCATCACAAAGCAATTGGTTACTGTTTTGAGGCGCCGAGTGGTTATGACAGCCAATATGACCAGCGTATTACCGATGATGGTAATCACGATGAAGAGCGATGAGATGAATATAAAGATGAGATCATAGAAATGCGCCCATTCGGCCGCAGTGGCAGATTCGTTATAGTAGCTGCTAAAGTTAGTCGTGGCTGGTACGGCAATGCCCCCGATTCCCCCCATGCTGCCACTGACATCGTGGCTTGTGTCATTTGCCGTTGATGTCGATGTCAGTGTCAACACAGTTGTTGTTGTTGATGTTACTGCTGCAGTTGAGGCTGTTGTTGTTGCCGCTGCTGTTGTGGGCAATAAAGCGCGATTGACAATGTTGTTCGATGATTCCAGAAAATCCTCATAAACGATGGAAATGTTCTCCTGCAGTCCGATGACGCCACTAGAGGCAAGTGATGAGGCGGCCACATACATCAGTGACGGTTGGATGACGCTCAGATTGTGCAACTGTGACTGTAAGTGGACAGCCATGTATATGTTGTTGGTATTGCTGTTGTTGTTGTTGTTGGGGCGGGTATTGTAGCTGCTCTTTATGTATAATTTACATGTTCCATGTGCCAACCCTGGTGGAATGTTTGGAGGTGCAAGTGACTTTGCTTCGTTTGTTACTTGTGTCGCCGTCGAAATTTGAAAGTGTATATGTGGTGGTCATTGTTTTGCATCGGACTTTTGATTGACGATTCAGCTTAATATGATTTTCAATTACTTTTTGACTTTGCTGCAAAGATACAAGAAAGACAGAAAGTTGTATATTGAGAGTGATTTTTAAATATATAGTTAGTTAACACAGGTCCCATTGTGGTGGCTGAATGGAACCATCTTTTGGAATCAATAGGGAGTTGGGACGCTAAGTAGCAGATTTGCATGAGAACTTAGGTTCTATTCCAATCCCTTTTTTCCTGAAGTGAAGGAGTACGAATGTTCTCTTAGGTTTAGGTCGTAAAAACAAAGCATACAAGTGCCGCCATAGCCTTAGTTTTGAATAAGGAATTCATAATGTGGGAAGATATACTGAAGCTTATATTCAACAATGCTTATACTATAGACGTGTGTCATTTTTAAACTGGCTGCAGTTTCCACAACAAATCATTTTTCGTCGAGCTTTCAGGAGTTGTGGTGTTACCATAAATAATACCAATTCGTATCGATCTATGGTATTTCTACAACATGTTTCTTATGGTCTGATACTGGTCTTTGTCTTCTAAACAACCTTCAATAGCAGCACCATGATAGTTAGAAAAGGCATTAGGCTGAATTTTAGCGTCAAAATATTATCAAAGCCCGAAGCCTATTTGCGGTGAGAGTTATCCTTGTATTTCCATTTCTTCTTTCAATGCATGAAAAGTGTCTTTAAATTAAATTTCGGAATTTATTTGCTTTACCCTTAATTTGTCTTTAATTTAGCTGCACAAGAATAGTATTTATACTTGGCCTGCGCAGCAAAAGAAATTTTCTTCTCAATTTCCGCTAAACGAACCATTTCTATGCGTACGTATCGAATTAATTTGAAATGATAGAGATGCTTTCCATTTTAAAAGCGGAACACAATTTGTCGGAACGGCATCCGTTTTTCTTATTAAAACGTTACGCAAATGAGCACAGACATAGATATATTGCAATTTATTAGCGTCAAAGGAATTTTTTTACGCTTATTACACAAATCTATTGACTAAGTAAGCGGCTAAGTGAGGAATCCAAGACTCACACTCACGCCATTTGTGTGTTGATTTGTTGCAAATACTGCGTGTTTTTTGTGCTGCTATTTATTTAAGTTAGTGATTGGACAACATTTCATTAAAGTAGACAGGGCCCATCCATGACGTAGGGTAAACGTATTTTTGCTGCTGGACCAAACTTAAATTTCAATCTTTACATTTTGTTTCTAGTGTAGTTTTCTAAGGATATCAATATTTTTGGATTGGGCATTTTCATTTGGAAATGAATCGGCAACTGTTGCTTATTACAACGATTTGTTTTTTATAGGTTGGACATATATTGTTGAGCAGCTGTTGTTGCTATTGTTGATGTTGTTGGTGTTGTTGCTGTTGATATTATTACTGCTGTTGTTTACCCGAGAAACACAGAAACTTGGGCACGTTTCATAGTGGCAAACTTTTCATTTTACAACCAAGAGATAAATTTAATCAGAAAACTTTCTTTATGTTTATAAACATGCGCGCCAGTACACCCTCAAGTGTTGGGCCCTGCTTTTTCATTTACTTTTGAGCAGAGTCTGGACGGCACGCGACCGAGAAGGTGAACTGGAACCCTCCAGTCAGTTGTGAAGGAGCAGGGGAATCGGAGAGAGGACATTAGGCTTTGCGTGCACACGCCCAAACGCACGCTAAATTATCCGCATAATTATCTCAAGTGTTAAATTTTTATGATAATTTTATGCAAAATGCTTTTAACCGCAATTGTGCAATGTGCTGCGTTTTATATTTACAAAAGACTTGAAAAAGTGTTTATGCAGCGCTTACTTCTCTGCCTGTCTGCCTGTCGGCGAGTTTGCATGTGTGGCTCCCCGCAGTCCCGTTTCCCCCCTAGACTTGCCTTCTGCAATTTAGTTTGTAACTACGTATAGTTGTAAATAATACTGAGTAAGTAGGTTGCCACAAATGAAATGTGGCGCCGCTTATTGCAAGCAAATGTAAACTGAAATGCTACAAGACAGATAAAAAAGAATTTATTTGCGTAGGACCTGCAACCAAATCAGAGGGTTTAAGGCAATGACATTCACATTTGATAAGTCCTGCTGTGCAGTCAGTAAACTTTTGTCATTTAATGCTTTGGCGTCTGTTATGGAAAAGAAAAAGAAGTGCGAAACTTTTGCTTAGTTAAGTGGCCAAATACTAAGGAAAATTGTCAAGCTGCCAGAATCTAAGTGGGAAAACTGCATGAGAATTGTCTACGGCTTTCCTATCTGGCTTAATACTTAAGCAAGCAAAAGGCACTCAGAAGCAATTTCAAACGCTATTTTGGTTTGCAATTTTGGTTTCTAGTGAGAACTGCTCAAGTATGTGGCAAGAGCTTCTGCCCAAGTGTGCGTGGTGTGCGTAAGTGTGTGCTTTCAAAATAATATCAAGTGAGAGCCGAGCTACTGCTTATGTGAAGGCTTTGAATATGCAATTGCTTAAACACATGTACCGCGGAACTTAAATAAATTACGTATATCGCTTTTTGCTGGTAATTAGCTGAACCTTTTCTAAGGACACTACATGAATTTGGTTTATTTAATTCAATTTCGATTTAAAATGTATTAATCGGGTGGATTATGAATAAATGACCAGAAACTAAAGCCCGACAATTAAATTTAATATAAAATGTATATAATTTAATATAAAGTAGCCTTCTTTTTACCGTTATGGCGTTTGGACAATTCTAGTATAATATTTAAACCTTCGAGTATTAAAGTTTTTATTTTTTTTAAATTGTGCCTAATTTTCCTTTATCTTTATTATATTCCTTAGCTCTAAATAACAAAGCATCAATATTAAGATTCAGATTGTAAATTGTACAGAATTTTTGCATTAAATGTATCTGCCGAATGGATATTGTGTATTTTTTGCGACACTTTCTAGAATATTGCAGGGCTGAATATGTGAAAGATGTAAGTTATACATAAAATAGTTGCTTTAAAATGCCAAGCATGAAAGGAAGCTAAAAAATGCTCTTAAAAAAGTTAACAGCAGCAATGGCCGCAACAAAAGAGCAGCCCAATATATATGAGCTTGGAAGTGTGTGTTTGTGGATGTGTGTGCATCCTACATCTCAGCGACTCTGGTAGCGACTTGAAGTGGAGGGCGTGTGTGTATGGGTATATGTGTGAGTGAGTTTGCATGTTTTCGTTTTCAACAACCAGCTAAAATGCAAAGCAAAACATAAACAAAATATGACAATTGTTTTTCCTTCCACCACAAATAACAACAACGACTAAAGTCGACCCTCTGTTGGGATTTCGCAGAGGCTGCTATTGCTGTTGTTCTTCTTGTTGTTGGTATAGTTGCAGTATTTGGCCCAAAAGCGAGTTCAGGATTACGATGGTCTGATTGTTGCATTTGTTCTTTCATGCCTGGTTGGGCAGGGAGCACACAAAACCCTATTTTCATGGCCAGAAGTCTCCCACTAATGCTTATGGTAGCGTCGAATAGTCGCGCTTATGCTTTTTCGTTTAAGAGTTAACAAAAAGGGGAAGAGCAAATCTTCTTAAGCTATGCTTTACTAAAAAATTATGTAAGTTTCTTTTACATGAAATGACCACCAAATCCAACTTCTGAAAGCTTCAGATATACTCTTCAGAATAGAACATCGAACATCACACATTCCAGACATTCCAGAAAATGACCCTAAAAGATCGGACATCATAGAAAACATGTACGAGTTTATATTTATAATAATGCTGCAACTCTTGTACATTCATAGTTCATTGTACATTCTAGTCTTAAACTGAAAAGTAAATAAAAACCAGATTATGAGCTCGTTGAGCTGTGCATAGAATACTTAATATATGTTTGTTTAATTATATACTTTTTGTGTTATGCCTCATTGTTTCCTAGCAGCGACTTAGCTTCATCTTAGCTTAAAACTTTCGCTACAGTAAATAAATTTGACATGAAAGGCCTTTTCCGGCGCCAAACTTGCAAAAAAGGAAAGATCTAAGCGTGAGTAATCATGTTTTTATTTTTAAAGTTTAATATGCATATATTTTCCCTGGTTAGTCTAAGCAAAAGACTTATAGACTTGGTGTAAAGCTAGCAATTATAATTAAGGAAGCCACTCGAAATCAAAGCGTTCTGGAAAATATGTAATACGCAAAAAAGAAGTCGCGAAAGAAAACGCATGCCAAAATAAATTATACCGTTTTGCATATTCCCGTTTGTTTGACAGGCTTTACGCAAAAATGTTTTGCAGCATACCATCTCAGCGAGTCTATTTTTATACCCTGTACCCGTAGCGTAAAAAGGGTATATTAGGTTTGTGCAAAGTATGTAACATGTAGAAGAAAGCATCTCCGACCCCATAAAGTATATATATTTTGAATTAGCATGACGAGAAATCGATCTAGACATGTCCGTCCGTCCGTCTGTCTGTCTGGATGAACGGAAGGATCTCAGAAATTTAAAAGCTAGAATAACCATAGTTGGTATCGAGATTCTCCTAGGTCTGTGAAAGGACGAGTTTTTTTTTACTTTTTTTGAATATATCCCTGACTCCTTTGGGTGGGAGGTAAGTATATGAATATCCTTTTAAGTTTGTAGAGTTTTTTCTCGTAGAAATAAAAAAATAGTATTGGTTCATCAAAATTAAACAAAGCTGAGCTCAATTATATCCTTGAGCCCTTTAGTCACGTAGTATATTAGTTTCCTTATGCTTATGTTCAAATTTAGAAAACAATTGGGTTCGACTGGAAAAAATTCAAAGGCAAAGGGTGAACCTGTTCTCATAATAATGAAAACCAACCTTCATGGCCTATTCAGAAATGCAGTAGAAGCATCCTCATCACATTATTACCCTTTTACTACAGGACATTAATATGCACCACGATGCCAGAAATTCACAGCAATATATTCAGCCAAGAATGTAAACACGACTTCCGACAAGAGAACTCTCAGCAAAGTTTTAAACACAAGTGCCGTTTAAAATTTTTGGGCATTCAAAGTGCAGCCTATTGTTAGTCTCAAGCTGGAAATTATATTTAAATTTGAAAGAGCTTACACCTGAGAATACTATGTACAAGCTACGAGTACCAACCCATTCAAATGTGCATCGGCATGCCCGTTGAGATACCTCTGTAGGTAAACGGTTATTTAAGAGGCACAGAAACATACGCTTGTTATATAATTTATTGCCTGGCATCTGTAAGTTTTTATGCCGGCAATTTGTACATGGAACACATGTATACTAAGTAGTACGTCAGTTTTACGGAAGCTGTGACCTAAGTACGTTCGAGTATAGTACGTATTCAGACCTGCAATTTCGGCACGTTTTATGAAAGGTCATTAAAAGTATGAAACATGCTGTTCCTTCTGCTTGTGTTTTTTTTTTTTGCCTGAACAACTTCTTTCTTCTTTTGTTTACTTTACAATCTGTGTTTGCTCTTCGTACGCTACTTAACAAGCTACTGGCAAGTGGTACCATAGATTTAATTAAATACGCAAACACAACCTAGCATACATGTATGTATATACTCCTCGAATGTAAGTATGAATGAAGTATGAAGTTCTGCTGTGTGTAGATGTGCGGCTCTCTGTTTGTTTTGGAAAGCACGAAATGGCTTTAAATGTGGCAAAAAATGAGCATTGGTAGAAATGTATTGGTAAGCGTGCGTATACCAGTATTCACACAATTTTAAAAGTACAGAGCAAAACAGGACTTTTCTTTGTATACATAAGTACGCATTTATATACTTGTACAATAGAAGTAAATATATATCCTTGAAATAGCATATATGTGTCGGAGGAAACTGCGGGGCACATTTAACTAAATGAACCTCCACAATTTCGCTTATGTATCTTCCTCTGAGTAAATAGTGACTTTATTTACTTTTGTTGAAATTTCGGACTCGCTTTAGCAGCTAATTTTAGTTATTAAGCGAATTTCAGTGAATTCTGTTTGGCTTAAATGCTACGCACATTTTACATATTGAGTTTTAAAGCAGTGCTTTTTCATTATATCTATTTGTTTTTTTACAACAGTTGTGAGTCTTGACTTCGTTATTAAATTCAAGTAAATCTCGACCCATTAGGATGAATGACTTCGTTACATAGCTTCCCTACAGTTCATATAACAATTTGAGCCTTAAACATAAAAAATAAATAGGTGACAATCTGTGTTTCTAATATTTTATTGTTTTAAAAGAATTTGAGTAAATTGGTGGAGAACATAAATCGAGCTAAGCATTATGATATGAAACGCAAATATTTGTTCCCCATTTAAGACTGTATTTTTGAATTTTCTCAAGCTATTTAAACTATTCCAACTGTGCTGGAAGTCAGTCAAGTCAGTCAAGAAATGGGTTGTAGGTAAACTAAATTTTTTTATTTTATATCCATATTTGTTAGCTTCCTTATTGCATACAGAAAATTGTGATTGCTTCCAAAAGAAAAAAAAACTTTTTAAAAATATCCTTTTCTGATGGCGCTACATATTGATGGGTGATTGCGTTCGTTCCCAACAATATCAATTCCAAGTTCCTTTTTTTTAAAGTGCTGTTTATTTGAGAACACACTTAGGTGACAATAACAATTGGAATTAGGTTTGGGTTTTGGGTAGAAGTTTCCTTCGCTTTTCCACAACTCACACTTCTATAGCAATACATTCAAATTGAAAGCTTTATGCAATTTTCAGGTCAAAGAGAAAAGTTTTTAAAGTTTATAATTTCATTAAAAATTTAGTACAAATGTAATTGAAATATTATTATGATGGGAAACACATTACATTCAAAGTTGACAAACTGAATTTCATTACTCTGTTGTGTGCTGTCAGTTTAAATCACTAAGAGAATGATACTCGGATTTTTACGAGTAAAGGGCGTCATTGTCAAAGTTTGCATATCGCAAAAATTAATTTATAACCGGAATAGAGCGGATTGAGCTCTCTCATGAAACGAACTGAAATAATTGTCTTTATTTAAAAATGCCAACACAAAAGCTTTTAAAAGTGCACTTTTGTTTAATGTGATTAAAATAAAAGCAGATGGAACTGTATTGGTGCTTCATTTTGCATATTGAACTATAGGCTTTCCAGCCCACATAAGCCAAAGAGGGCTCTTGACCGCTTGGTTGCAATTTCATTTTATTTTCTTTGATTTTTACTTTGTTGTTCCAGTGCTGTTATATTTCCACAATTTTTGCGGTGTCGGTTGCATTTTCTCATTTTATTTATGGCACTTTTTGCAATTACTTCTTTTTTGTGTTCAGCCCCTTCTGTGTGGCTGTTTAAGTGCTTTTTCTTACAAAGAGACAAAAATGGGCGCATTCGGTTATTTTCGCGCCATTCTTTTGGATAATTTATGCCATTAAATGGGCAATTTTCATTTGCTTTACAGTAGCTGCGACACTCTTCGGATCTATTTTAGTGTAGTTTATGGAACACTTATCAGGAATGAATACTACACGCTTTTCGATTAGAGTGCAGCTGCAAGTGAATTGAAGTGGAATTGAACAACAAATGGAAGAGGAGTGCAATAGAAATGTCATGCTTTGTTCTTTATCGAGTACATCAAGTTCTGGTCTGTGTCGTGGATTAATTGATTTTGACATAATTGACTTAAATTTGTTGATATCTATGATTGATAGTGAGGTGAAAAAGTTCCGCCTATTTACCTAAAGTCATTTGATTTAGTTCCAATGTCACTGCACTGCTTAGATAACAGCCTTCAGAGCCACATGTGTGTGTCATAAATACATAAATTATTGCAAAATATGTATATATTATAAGTTGATGGAAACCAATAGCGATTGTTTTCACATTTTATTATTACGAGACGTTCCCACAATTGGTGCGCAATTAAAATTTCAACACGTAAAAGAAATTCAACACAAAATGTTTAGCAACAATTTTGATGTATTTAACACTTGGCACTTTATTGGTGTTTACACTTTGAACTCATTTCCGAGCATTTCATCCAAAAGTAGCTGCGATAGCCACTTGAATGATCTAAGTGGAATTGTACACAAACATTCTCGTGTAAATGCCGCGCCCGGAGAGAGGTGCAAAATATTTGAAATACAAGTAGGAGGCTAAGAACACAACAGGCTGACAGCTTCAAATTTGCGTTACATTAAAAGTTTGTCAATATTATGCAAATGACCAAATAGACAAACACCCTGGCCGACTGGCAGCTCTGTATTGACACAGCTAGGCAATGGAAAAAACGCGAGGGCGACTTTAGCGGAAGTTAAAGGCCAGTGGCTGAGAGAGGTTCGCGTTAAGAAGACGACAAGCAGCGGCGAAGCTCACGATTCAACTGATTGGAGCTACGCTATGGAGATATGGAAATTGCAGACAGAATGGAACGAGACTTACCATACTATGCCTTACCGTTCGAATCGACAGCACGGTTGCTGTTGTTGCCGTTGTTGCTATTGCTGCCGCTGTTGTTGTCCACAATAATTTGGATTTAAGTGTTATTTATTTAGCGTCTTTGATAACGTTCACCACATGCCGCATACACTTACTGTCTGCGTGCGTGTGTGCGTGTGTGTGTATATTTGGTATGTGTGTGTAAGTGCGATAAACAAATTAAAACTGATTGCGCGATAGACAAGGTGGCGGTTGCTTAGCGCAGCACATGAGTACGTACACAGAAGTATATACGAATATATAGGTAGAAGCGACATTCTATGAGGTTATAGACTAAGGCACAACTGATATCTGCTAGATAGCGATTGAAATAGAATCGACGTGGTACATTAGACGGGACTTCTCATATCCAAATGTACTCACAGGCTTCATTTAAAAGCTTTTATTTTGGTTTTTATGTAAATTTGAAAGTTGATGCGAAAGTAGTATGTACATACATCTCAAATTCCGCTGCTTGGTTTTCTAACATATCATTCGTTTTTACGTTTTTATACTCTGTACATGAAATGTACAAGAGTATATTAGGTTTGCGCGAGCTGAACATGAAACAGGCAGAACAGGAGGTGTGGCATTTTATATTCTTGATCACCATGACAAGACGAGTCGATCGATGTCCGTCCGTCTGTCCGTATGAACACCTGGATCTCAGAGACTATAAGAGCTAGAGACACCAAATTTTGCGCAAAGATGCCTTATGGGTTTTCCAGATTTTCCTTTTGTATAATCGCCTATATCTCGGAGACTATAAGACCTAGGAACACCAAATTTTAGTCCAAGCTGCCTTATATAAATACGCAGAAGATGTGTATTTTGGAATTTTCCTCCTTCCCCCCTCTCCCCTGCACATCGTGATATAATAACAAGGTCCCGCAGACAAGGTCCCGATGAATCATTTTTTAAGATTATTGCATTATTTCCAAAATATGATCAAAATATAATTTTTTTATAAGACAAAAAATTTGCTTTTAGTTTGAGTTATTAGAGGCCGTTTATTTGTCGTTGTATAATTGCTAAGCAATGATTCACCTTTTAACAAATTAATTATTTTTTTTTTTTTTGATAATTTTGTTTTTAACCTCTTATTGACTTTTCCTTGGAATTTGGGAGCTGAGCTAACAATCCGATGAATTCTTAAAAAAAAATGCAAAGTTAGTGTTTTAAAACGTGCCATAAAAAACAAAAATAATAATATAAATATCCTATATAGAATGTTTAAATTTACATTTGATTTCGATTCCTATTTTATGAACGCACTGTTAAATTTATTAAGCTTTTAAATGGATTGATTCGATTTTAAAAAGAGCAGTTTTGTCATAAGATATTTTATATTTTTTTAAAGGCTTAACCTTATAAGTTTTCCAATATACTGCCCATAATACAAATTTTGTATAACTGTGTTTTACAAATACATATTATAATCAATAGGGATCCATTTATTTAATATTAACCCAATTACCGATCTATAATTTTTTCGACTCCCCTGTTTCAAGGTTTTAAGTCGTAAATTTTCATGAAGTCGTGAATAGTTGGTTCTGTGAGAAGTCGCGTTTATGGCTTCCACAATCATGCTTCTAAGATTTATTTTAGGTAGGTTTGAATAGAAATTAGTATCATTTTTTGTAAGATTTCATCCCAGTGGGCTTTGCCACAACAAACGTTCATAGGAAGGTTGCAAGCTAAATACAAATACTTGCACATACATATTTTTATAATGATCGGTAGAGTCAGTTATTGGTACCGGGAAAATGTCTCGGACAAAAAGCGGATTGCGCGGCTTGTCGTTTAATTAGTGGATTTGGTCTGTTGGGCATCGGGGCCTTTCTGCTCTCACAATCGAAGCGTCCGCGTCCAATTGAGAAATATGTTATGAAGGGATTGGCAGCAGGTGTGTTAAATTGTAATACAATCCCAAAATATGAAATTACTAGCTCATTATTCCGACAGCTGTTGGAGCTTTAGGCGTGGCACGTCTGGCCGACGTGAATTTCTTGAAGGCAGAACTTGAACCAAGCAAGCCCACAAACACGCGCGAGTCAAGCCAAGGACGCTTCTAGATATAAAGGCATTAAGTATAACAGACTAATTTCTGAAGAAATTTATGATTATATAAATTATTTATGCATGACTAAGCATCCACGTGTATTTGAAATAACAAATGAAACAAATAACACAAATTTACACATGAACCCCAATTAGAATCACATTTTTCCCAGCTTAGTGGCAGTCTTGCGATTGGGCGTCATATTTATGCACCGACAAATTGTCTCATTGATTTGGGTCTAAGGCTCTGGCACATTCTGTACATAGTTGCCCTTTTCGAAAGATGAGCGGAGTATGGGTAATGGACTTTCGGTTTTTCGTTGAAGGCGCTAAAAGTTCTTGCACAATGCGCGACAGCTTTCAGGTGCAACAAATGGCTGGAATGATGGGGCACATTTCGCTTATTACCTGCAGGTAACCACCCATTTGCGAAGCATATCCCGATCTGGAAGATCGTATGCGTATACCTATTACAAAATTACAAAATGCAAACCTTAGCAAACTTAGCCGCAGAGGCTTAAACAATTTTATGCAGAACTAGTTGTTTTGAAAAGTGTTTGTATGCTCCATTTGACACTTCGTTGATATGTCTCATCATCTTTCCTTATGATATAAAAAGGTTAAAGCACGAAAACGAACCATATTAAAACATTGACTTACTTTTGTGCTTTTAACATTTTACTTAACATATCTTTTTAAGATCTATAATAAAATAGGAACTCAACATTTATATACCCGGTACGCGAAGAGTAAAGAAATATTAGATTTGTGCAAAGTAAAGAAAAATGAAAGATGTCCGTCTGTGTCTCATCTTTTCTGGGTGTCTATCTATAATTTGGAGACGATTGGGCCAAATTACAAGTAATATACACTTCTCTTACAAACTTTTTTAATCTATAGGCACCATGAATTTTCTTCTTTTTTTTAATTTGCTTTCACTTTCCCTGCTACAGAATTTACTCAATACTATTCACAATTTTAAAAGTACATATGCAATTGTGAGTAGTGAAACAATTCCATTATTATTCCAGTATTAGGTCCATAAGCTTTATTCTTTGTTGTTACATATTATAAATTGTATTTTTTTGTGGGCGTTTCTGACAAATATAATATAGTGGCGTTCTCGAATTATGAAGCTAAATGGTACAACAAATTTTACCACACGAGGAAAAAGTACACTATATCTAGGTATTGTTAACTACTTCTAGAAAGTTCAATTTTGAAATGACTGCTACTTGTATTTTTTGTTGTCATTAACCCCGTAATAAATTTGCTTATCGTGTAGGCGATAAAAATCGCAGCTATTTCCACACGACTGCACCAACAAATGGCCAGTATTTGAATCGACATACATACGAGTAGTTGATAATAAATGTACCTCACAAAATATGGTTTAATAGAATTAGGTATAAAAATAAACGCAACTTTGTCAGTCCTTAATCAGGCCTATTAATGTGCACGCCAGTGTTTTTGTTGGACCACATTATCTTTTCTATTTATACTCAATCGGTATATTTTTATCAGCATTTTTCGCCCAATTAGCCGGCAAACACATAGTTAGTCAACTTCATATGTCACAACATTTTTGACCCTGCCGCGGGAACTAATCTGGTAAGAAACAGGGGGAGGCATTCATGTATTTCTTTTAATGAAAGCACAAGTAAATCCGAGGTAATTAATGTCGAAATCTTTGTCACTGCACTCAATTAGTGCACATAATTGGCTGAGTTTTCGGTTCATTTCATGGCAATTACATAAGCGGCTCAGAAGGCGCGAAAAGTCAACAAAGTGTGTTCTAAGCCTTGCTAAGCTCTTGGCAAGCGTGTTTGTATGTTTTTCTTCTTGTATGCTCAACATATGTAGATTCTGTTATCTAACAAATTGCGTTCATTTCTTCATTATTTCGTTCTCCTTTATTTGAACAAATTGGGTGTTATAAGAAGTTTTCCGATTAGGTGTGCGGGAAGAAAACAATTATAATTAAATTGACGTTTTCTCTTTCAATATTTGAAAAGAAAAGACCTAGAATTTATTATTCTGAAAAACTATGTATACTACTGGGAAATGGTCGGCCAGAATAAGGGTTTATCTCGCCTTTACGGGCAAGAAATTGTGAAATTTTTTGTTATTACACTATTAACAATAAAACTATAAACAATGAAGAACAATCTTAGTGCAAAGAAAAAACATGAACAACCATCTGAAGTTAAATAACATTTTATGTTCGCTTCAGATATAGACGTATAGCGGT